CTACCTGCTGCTCCTTCGCTGTGGCGGGCCTGCTTTTCTACTGTCCCTATCAAAACTCTCTTCACTCTATAAAAGCCTCTTTCAAAGGCCACCTCTTGGTGAGGTCTCCCTTTAGCGCTCCGGTCAGACCAACCCTTCCCCCACATCCCCAGCAACACTTCTTTCCCTGTGGTTCTCTCCCACTGTATTAAGAATATCAAGGGCAGAGTTGCTATGGCAAGTAGCAGGGTTATTTAAAACAAAAGATTGTAACAGGCACCCAAGGCAGCTCGATTGCCCTGCACTCCATCCCTGGGGGAAGCGAAGCAAGGCCTCCTGATCCTCGCCCACTGCCTCGCCATCTCTGCAGCAGCCCACCCAGGGGTCAGGGGTCAATGAAACTCCAAAGCCACAGGCAAAACTGTGTCTGAGCCACCGTCAGCACTCTCACCAGAACCTGAAGATGCGTGTGATTCGAGAAGTTGAGGCTGTTCAGACCCTACTTCACAGAACAGGAAAAGCAAACCAGTTACGTTTTAAGCGACTAAGAGTTCATCCCAAAAACACATTCCTAGCTCTCCAAGTTCTGAGGGGAAATAACATGGACACTGGAACTAGCTAGAAGTCAGGCGAATCATAAGGGAAAGAAGTCATACTCATGGTTCTGTGAATTTCCGGGATCACATAGAGTATAAAGATAACTCTCTAAAGTATTAACACTCAACAAAGAGTTTTGATCAGAAATTTAATGTGTATTTCAACCTAAAACATGGAATTAAAAATCTGTTTTAGCCTGGCCGGCGTAGCTCGGTGGTTAAGCACTGACCTATGAACCAGGAGGTCGCAGTTTGATTCTCCGTCAGGGCACATGCCCAGGTTGCTGGGTCCCCAGTAGGAGGCAGCTGATCAATGATTCTCTCTCATCACTGATATTTCTCTCTCATCACAGATATTTCTCTCTCTCCCTCCCTCACCTTTCTTTTCTGAAATCAGTAAAAATATAATTTAAAAAATTGTAGTGAAATGTTATGGTTTTCTCATTAAAATGGCTTTATTCAACAGTCTGCATGAAAAATATCACATAACCTATTCTAAACTAGGATTGTAAACTATAAATAAGTATTAAACATTCCTTTCAGTATAACATGAAGACATTTATTATTTCTAATGTTAGTAACAGCAAACAAAACCTGCACTTGAACCTCTTGGCAGAATTACATGGTCCAAACCATCAGTGCCTCTGACTTAACACACAGGCCAGTGGTCGGCAAACTGCGGCCCCTTGAGTGTGGCTCTTCCACAAAATACCACATGCGGGCGCGCACATACAGTGCGATTGAAACTTTGTGGCCACACTCAAGGGGCCAAAGAGCCGCATGTGGCTCACGAGCCGCAGTTTGCCAACCACTGACACAGGCTTAAAAAACAGAATATATATGCATCTTTAAAGAATAAATTATATCCATTAGTAGCAGGAACATGTCAAAATATAAAATTCACATTTGTGTTAACTGTATCTAAACAAGATATTAAGTTTTCCAAACATCAAATGAAATACCACACACATCAACTTCTAGTTTCCAATGAATAAAAATATCTAGAAATATCCAGTTTTTCAAATAGCTAATATATTCAATAAGTGTTATGTGTATTTAAAACTGCCAATTAGCCCTAGCTTATGATAGTCCATAAGAAATAGTCATATGCCCTAACAGGTTTGGCTCAGTGGATAGAGCATCGGCTTGCAGACTGAAGGGTCCCAAGTTCGATTCCTGTCAAGGGCATGTACCTTGGTTGCGGGCACATCCCCAGTAGGGGGTGTGCAGGAGGCAGCTGATCGATGTTTCTCTCTCATCGATGTTTCTAACTCTCTATCCCTCTTCCTTCCTCTCTGTAAAAAATCAATAAAATATATATTTAAAAAAATAGTCATATGTATTTTTAAATATATTTGAGATCCGAATAATATTTTATTTCACTATAAAAAACCATAGTGCAGAATATTTTCAGCATTTTATTATCAAATCTAAAGATGGACTGTGGGAAGGTTGTGTCATTATCTATCAGATCAAGTTCTAAAAGTAAAAAAAAAATTCAAACTTTGAAAAATAACCTCTTACTACAAATGAGATCATAGAAATGCTTCCCATACTGCCTTTCCCTGGGAAACAAAGCTGAAGGAGACCCTTCCCGCCCTGCCTCTGAAGCCTTACACTTTCCACGCCAGCTGCTGGGAATCAATCGTCATAAACACATGAAGCGGGCGCTCTGTGAAGCAACTATCTTGAACCCATCTGTCTAAGCAATTAAACTATGTCCTACTTTGCCAAAAAGTAACAGCAGGAAAAGGAACAATGGCATTTGAGAAAATGATGACTTCATTATCCCAACAGAATCTACTGTCCACCCAGTTAGAACAGAGTTGGCTTTGCACTGAACAGCCACACCAGCCTCATTCAGCCCACTGTGCACAGCCGACAAGGTTAAGGTAAGACAAAGCCCCTTACCTCTGTTTCCCAAACTCCTCCCAGAGGCAAATCCACTTCTCATGAAATGATCTCTTCGAGAAGGTCCATCATCCATTTCTAAAGCAAATAACATTATGAAGGGAGTCAAAATAGCAAGGATCTTGGTGGTATGCAAACTTCACACCCTTTTAAAACGTACCCACTCGCATGGCAGAGGAGGAATTGTAATTAGGAATGAAAAAGATGGCTGCCGAGTGGAAAATGGGCTATGAGTAAGAGCAGGCAGCTCTACTAAACAAGATAAATGGTGACCCCATTGCAAGCGCTTCACCTTTACAGGCCCAAGTCCTGCTCCCTATGTCAGGGACCCTGGCAAGCCCCTAGCAGCCTGACAGCCAAACATGCAGCGTCCAGGTCGGGCAAAGGTTTTTGGTGGTTTTTCCCCTTTATTGTTGAGAGTATTACAGATGTCCTCCTTTTTTCCATTGCTCCCCTCCATTCAGTTCCTGCCCCACCCCAGGTCTTCACCACCCTACTGTGTCCATGGGCTATGCATATCTATACTAATAAAAGGGTAATATGCTAATTAGACTGTAAAACCTTCCAGGGGACCTTCCGGACAAAGCCATGGTGGTGGGGCCGAGGCAGAGGCTGTTAGGGGCGATTGGGCCAGGAGGGGAGGGCAGTTGGGGGCTATCAGGCCAGCAGGGGGGCAGTTGGAGGCGATCAGGCCAGCAGGGGGGGGCAGTTGGGAGTGAGCAGGCTGGATTGGGCCTAAACCGGCAGTCGGACATCCCCCGAGGGGTCCCAGATTGGAGAGGGTGCAGGCCGGGCTGAGGGACACCCGCCCCCCTGCACGAATTTCGTGCACCATGCCACTAGTCTATACTAATAGAAGGGTAATATGCTAATTAGACTGGGAGACCGGATGTCCTTCCGGACAAAGCCATGGTGGCGGAACCAAGGCAGAGACGGTTGTTGATCAGGCAGGCAGGGGGGCAGTTGGAGGCCAGCAGGCAGAGTGGTTAGGGGCGATCAGGCAGGCAGGCAAGCTGTTAGGAGCCAGCGGTCCCGGATTGCGAGAGGGATGTCTGACTGCCAGTTTAGGCCTGATCCCACAGGCTGGTAGCCCCACAGATCGCCCCTGATCGCTGGTCAGGCCTAGGGACCCTACCCTATATATTGGGAACAGTCACTTAGATTTAAAAATTAAAACCTGACAAGGCTACTCTAACACTAAAAAAACAGGATGATGCAACAATGACATGCCTGGACTCTGACTTGCACATTTTTTGGTGAGCCCTGATTCTGACACTTATAACTGTGTGACAAAGCCAATTAACTTCTCTCTGCTTCAGTTTTTCCACCCATAAGATGGAAAAAATGGTACTATTGCCTCAGAAGGATCTTGTTATGTAGTACTTTTTATAATCAGGGCAAAAAAATGTAGCTCCCCATACAACAGCAAGATGCCTTTCACCTGTATGAAAAGTATGGTCACTGGTGCATGCAGCGTCCTGGGCGAGAGGGATCCAACTGCCAATATAGGCCCGACATTCCCCGACGGGTCCCGGATTGTGAGAGGGCGCAGGCCGGGCTGAGGGACCTCCCCCGCCCCCATGCACGAATTTTGTGCACCAGGCCTCTAGTATGCATATAAATTCTTTGGTCAATCTCTTCCCACCCTTCCCCCACCCCTTTCCTCTGAGATTCCTCAGTCTGTCCCATGCTTCTATGCCTCTGGTTCTATTTTAATCATCAGTTTATTGTGTTCCTTAGATTCCACATATAAGTGAGATGATGTGATATTTGTCTTTCTCTGACTGGCTTATTTTGCTTAGCATAACACTCTCTAGGTCCCCCTGCTGTCTCAAAGGGTAATAAATCCTTCTTTTTATAGCTGCATGGTATTTCACAGTGTAGATGTACCACAGCTTTTTTGTCCACTCATCTACTGCTGAGCACTTGGGCTGTTTCCAGATCTTAGCTGCTGTGAATGGCACTGTTATGAGCATAGGGGTGCATACGTTCTTTCTGGTTGGTGTTTTGAGATTCTTGGGCTCTTCCTAGAAGTGGACGGCAAACCCCCTCTATCAAATAAAGCTGTCCATAGCACCATACTCTCTGTTCTCCCCCTTCTCTAACTGGAAGTGGCCCCCACCCCAAAATAGCCCAATAAGACAGTTCTCACTAGGGAATCTTCAAAGCGTCTCCAGGAGCTGTCTGCCAGGCAGCCCCTCATTCCCAAGGTGAAGCCCTTCACCGGACAGGACTCCTCCTTCCGGCCTAACTCATACCTGACGATGGCACTGGCGTCCTGCTGAAAGTGTCTCCATTTGCTCCAGAAGAATACCTATCCTGTAAGAAGAAAGACTAGTTTTCTACTGTAATAGAATGCATAATCTATTTCACAGATACTAGAAAATTTTAATAACTGGCTTTGTTCAGAACAAAAGAATGGTAGACTGTTAAGATTTCCTGGGTCACTGATGCTCCTTTATCAATTATTCCAAAATCTTCAAGTAACATTGTATGCAGAGCATATTAACCTATCACTTAGACCCTAGCCAGGCAGCTTAGTTGGTTAGAGCATCATCCCCATACGCCAAGGTTGTGGGTTCGATCCATGGTCAGGGCACATACAAGAGTCACCCAATGAATGCCTAGATCATGTGCATTCCCTCTCTCGTAGCCAAAGTATTACTGGCTGAATCGAGCACCAAAAAAGGGCTGGTTTTGTAAGTGTTAACACGCTGGCACTAAAGACCTGAAAAGCTGTTACTAGACGATCTTCAGGCTGTGGATGTAATGTCCTATATACATGAAACTTATTCATTTCAAGGAAAATTTTGAAACAAGACACCAAAAAATGTTTTTCAGCATAATCATTTCATCATAAACCTCAACCTTTTTCATTACCTTCAAAAGGTCAACTTCCTTCCTATTCCCCTCCAGCTACAGCACCTCTTCCCCGACCCTCCTAACACTGCTGCCTGCACCCTCTCATCCTTCCTTTCTTTTTAGATTCATATTTTATCTTTTTACTTATTATATTTTGTTTTGGTTTTATTTTTCATTCTTTCTTTAAGCCCCCAAGCCTCGCCTCCAGCTTAACTCCGCAGGGAATATGCCTCCAATGAGGAAGTGAGGCAGTGCGATCAGTACCCTGTGCTTCACCCAGAGGCGCCCTCAGCAGCATCTGAAATGAGTTTCTTCCTCCGACAACGTTCTCCTGGCTGGAGGAGCGAGCACACACTGCCCTGGCTACTGCCTGCCTCTTCAGCCCCTTTGGCCAGCTCCTCCCCGCCCAGCCTGTGAAGTTGGAGTGCCCTGAGCTCGCAGCAGATCCCTCTAAGTTTTACTCTATTGAACTCTACCCAGTCGCATACCTTTAAATCCCATTAACATGCAGATAACTCCCAATTTTCTACCTGTAGACTGATCCCTCTCCTAAGCAACCAATTCATATAGTGACTGGCATCCTTACTAATGTGTGTCACAGGCATCTCAAACTGAACCGAACAAATAGAGAGTTCTTAAAACATTTTTCCTCCCCAACTTATCCATCTTCCATAGATTCCCTCTCAGCAAATGACATCACCCAGGAAATCCACACTCACCTCCTCATTTCACAATCTTCACTCACACATGGAAGAACTTTTTCCAGATAAGGTAACACTGACAAGTTTCTGGGACTAGGAATTGGTATCTTGTACTTACAAGAGAAAGGCAAGGGCGCTGAAAGGACCCAGAGCAGACCCCATGCAGACGGAGCAGACAGAGATGCAGCCACCAGAGCTGGAGGGGCCATGGGTTCTCTCCGGCAGCCTCCCGGGCACACCCTGCTGACCCGACCGCTCACCTCCCGCCCCAGGCCTGGGAGAGAACCAGCGTCTGTTGCCTGAAGCACCCAGCTGGGTCCCCTGGCTTCAGCAGCCCTAGGAACCCATACGTTGATCTGCCTCCTGGGGCCCCGATGGCCAGCTCTGCTCCTCCTCAGGACCTCTGCACATGGCGCGTGGGGCTCCTCAGGGCCCAGGCTGAGGCACCGTCCCAGGGAAGCTTGTCCTCTCCATTTCCTCTCCACCTCATCTTAATCCACCGTCTGTCTGTCTCTCTCTCACACACACCCACCCCCTCTCCATCCACACACACACTTTCCTCAGAACTATTCATAGCACTTTTCACTATAATCATTCGGTTCTCAAGTGTGCTTATCCTGTCTCCCCTGTAAAACATAACATCCAGGACAGCAAGCACCTTACTTACAGTGTTTACCACTGCCTCCAGCACCTAGTAGGGCTCCATAAAATTTACTCAATGAATCACAGGTCTTGTCTTACGCTCACTTTTAGAAGACTTCGCTGTAAACCATTTATAACCTTTAAACCATCCATATGAACCAATTTAGAAATTTCAAAATGTTTACACATAAGAGCATATGCACCTACAAATATCCCTCAGGTGCAGCTGCAAATAATGTGTGCATTTTGATAAACACATTTCTTTTCCCCTTGTTAGTGCTCTTATTATTTTCAATCAGGAATATCATAGCTTTTTAAAGTCTTGTATCTTTTCCAAGCAAATAAGTATTTCCCTCACATGGTAAGTTGTTTTTCCTCTTAAACCTGGCGAGGTTTGGACCTCAAATGCTTGTCAGGTGTGCCACCCAAATAAGCTCCCAGCTGGACAACTGATGACCCTTGAAGATGCTGCCTCCAGCCCAGGTTCGTGTCCAGTGCGGCAGCTCCATGTTCTCCCGCCAGCCCCCGAGGGCCTTGACAAACACCGCTTTCATGGGATGCCCAGACTCCCTGAAATGCATTCGAGGATTACATGGACTTGTCCCGAAGACCAGGATCTCATCTCCTAGTCTCGGTTCCACGTCAGACAAAGCTGAGTAGGCTGCCCAGACAGGCTGACCAGGCCGGTTACACAGGTAGTTTGCCATATAAATTTAAATTCTGAACAAAATACATCTCTCCTCCTTTGGTCTCACACAAATTAAAGTCCCAAGATACAGACAATGCCACCCTCCACCCCTTCTTCTGATCCAGCGGTGCCAGCCAGATCAGCCCCTCCTGCCCCAGCTGAAGCCTGGTTCCTCCGACAGCACCTTCCGCAGCTGCTGTGGGGAAGGACTGGGCCCCCCTCCAGCACCTTCTGAGCTGCAGAACTCCTACCTGAGTCCCACGTGTCCCACACAGACCCGAAGTGCAGCAAGCTGCCAGGTCTCACAAGAAAGAGCAAAGCACCTCAACATTTAGAAATAACCACCAAAGCCCAGAAACAAATGTGACTGTTGCAAGAGCTTATAATATGTAGGCCCTGGTTTCGGTGTGAAGCCCTTTTTCAAATAAAAGTAATTTCCCCAAACAAAAGCATTTAACAATCCAAATTCATAATGTGGTGACCAACGACAGGCTGCAGCAGAACCACCATCAATGAGGGCAGAGTGTAGACAAGAACAGAAGCAAGGACAGAAGACTCGGGGTGCAGCTCCTCCCGGGGTCAGGCATCCCCATCAGCTGTAACCTGCGGGCCCTCCTCCAAGAGGGCTCTCCCCATCTCTGGACCAGCTCAACCGCCGGGGCCATCTCCTTAGCCTTTAGGGCCTGAGGATGAGACACTGCCCATCTCCCACAACTCGCCCTATTCAGCATCAACGAGCTCCCGTGCTCTCGATTAAGAGACACTCTTCCTCCCACGTCTCGCTGATGACTAGGCGCAGAAGTTGCCAGAACTCGCCCTGGGGCTCCAGCACGCCGGCCTCCTTAGTTCTGCCAGCTCCGTGATGTCCGGGGGCCACATCTGTTTCTGCTACTTCAGAACCACAGCGTGATGTGAACAGAGAAGGTGCGGACTTTATTTTCTTATCCAAATCATTTTACAAACTTTGCTGCTCCCACTTTATAAAATTATATTTGTGGATGGACTATTTCAAGCTGTTTCCATTTTAATCCTCAGAGTATTTGCTTTCTGGATGTCCCAACCAGCTGGCACGCAGGGACCAACGCCCGAGCACCGAGATGTCTGCCGTCCCGTGCACTTGTTAGATGACCGACTTTTCTTCACCTCACATCTCACTGTTCTATCCTGAGGTGGTGCACTCGCCTCAAAATCTAGACTCTCAAAATCCTAAGGGCTACCAGAACAGTGGCCAATTATTCCAATTTATATAAGCATGTGTCAACATTAAATCTCCGAATAGAATCCTGAGCAGCATTCAGAAAGGCTATCACACACATTAAGATGATACCAATTCCAGACGGTCTCAGAGCCACTATCAATGTAACAAAAGGGAAACCCAGCTGTCTCTACAAATGGAAACTGGGCCTGCAAAACCAATCAAAACGGTGCCTAAGAGAAACTGGGCTGCATAAAAGACCTGAGCCCTCCTACATTAAAAATACCATTTTAAAAACTCCCACGTTCATCCCTAGTTTCTGTACTTTTTATTCAACCAAGGCAGGCAAAAAAGCTGTTAACGGCACCACTCCCTTCAAGGCAAATAGGCCATATAACCACCAAAAAAGCCAGCACCAGGTGTTAGTTTGCAGACAAATGCAAAAATTTGACTACAAATTGGACCCACACAAATATGTATAAAGAATCCTAAGGTAGATTTGTTAACAAAAATTATATTCAAGTCAGTATCCCCAAATCATGAAACAAGGTATGTTACTGAACAGCACAAAAATTCGAAAAGGCTGCACTGGCGAGACCCGAGTCAGCCATACGAGACGTCAAACACCGTCTGCAATCAGCGCGCACAGGACGCTGCCTGCTGGGTACTGAGGAAATGTAATAAGGCAAAAGCTTGAAGGAAGAAAAAATAAAAACTAGACAGGTGACTCAAAGTCCACTGGAGAAGGTGTATCTGTGAATAAAACTTTACATCCTGACACTTCTATTGAGAACTTGGGGTAGGGGGGAAACAACCATAAAATGTCCTTTGACCCAGTAATTCCATTTTTGGAAAAAACAAAAAACAAAACAAAAAAAACCCTCCCAAATTAAAACAAAGCATAAGCCTTCGATAGATATTCGTAACACTATTACAGTGAGTAGCTGCCAGCGTCTTGACTCCACGCCCACAGGAAGGCCATGCTATCGGGGTCGGTCCTGCCCAGGAAGACGCGTGTGACCCAAAGCATCGCGTTCAGGAAACAGCGACGTGGAGGAGCAGAGTGAACGCGCTAGCCCCACTGTCACACCATCCGGACAAGAGCGCGCTGGAGGGAGCCGGTGGAAAAGGCCCGGGAAGGGGGACCGAGCT